ATAATAGATTTATTTTGAAAACAATTCTCTTGCAGATAACGTATAACGACATACTTAACGATTATTTTTCAGATGCTAGGACTTAATATTTAATGAATTTGGAATTCAGTGGTAAATGAAGGATACATGGATGGATTTTGAGATAAGTGCCAATATTGTATTGATGGTATCAGTATCTTCCTAGGGGAAGATATTGATATAATGATGATTTTTTCCTTTTTTATGGGACTTTGGAAACAATCGCATAAGTTATTGAACTTGACAAATTTGAAATGGAATATAAATGCAGCCGACGAAATTGCATATCGCTTGACTCAGAATTTTATTTTTAACGCCAACTCTCCGCAATTTTGTGTTGTAAAAAGACATGTTAGAGGTTTATTAGCTTTGTAAAGATAATTTGTAAGATAAGTTTCATAATGTTATTCAATTAAAATTTAATAATTCACGTGTCAATTACATGCAGGTTTTTTCACAGTAGTTCAATTATTATACCCTCCACCATACTATGGAGGGTATGTTAATTTTGTAAATCCGTTTGTAACTCCTCGAAATACTCATATCAGACCTAACAAAGTATATATATTCTTGATCAGCGTAAAATTCTAAGACGATTTAGCCATGTCCGTCTGTATGTATGTGCGTCTTTCTGTCTGTCTGTCTGCCTGCCCGTCAGTCTGTCTGTTGTAATCACGCTATCTTTCGAACAAATTGAGACAGAAAGCTAAAACTTTGCACATATGTATATTTTGCCAGTAGGCAGGCTAAGTTCGTAAATGGGCCATGTAGGTCCAAATTATCATATAGCCCCCATATAACGGTACCTCCCGATATTCGGTATTTTGATGATTTTAGTGACATTATTCACCGGAATTGTTTCAAATTTGGCATTTGAAGTTCGTAATGGATACTACAGCCTAAAACAGAAAAATATCTGTGCAGGTCCACGTCTTCGTATAGTCCCCATAAACCGTACCCCCCGATATTCGGTATTTTGACGGTTTTAGCGACATTATTAACCGGAATTGTTTCAAATTTGGTATTTGAAGTTCGAAATGGATACTACAGCCTAAGACAGAAAATTGTCTGTGCAGGTCCACGTCTTTGTATGGCCGCCATATAATGGTACCCACCGGAATTATTTCAAATTTGGTATTTCAAGTATTCAAATGTATACCTATCTAGTGTTAAATAAAATCCTTCAAAATGGCGGTTATCCAAAATTATAGACCTAAACTGAATATCTTAAAGCCACAACGAGTTTTACTTCTAAAGAATGTAAGTTATGAAGTAACAAACAGTACGGTCACAAATTAGAGTCAAAATCTTCAGAAATGACATTAAACTCCGCTAAATCTATATGGAGCTTATGTCAAAAACTGACAGATACTGATTTCTTTTTGTAGAGAGAATTTTATATTCAATGGGAATTCAAAATGCCAATTTAAAGTGAATTCATTGGGATGTGAGGGCTATGTCCTCAATATCCAATAACACTGTGAGAACTATACCAAATAACTTACGATTTTTGAAAAATTTCCTGTCGAATAGTGAATTGCCAAATTAGAGCAAATTTGTTAAAAAAAAAAGAACAAGTAAAATGCAATAAGTAAGTAAGGCCGGGACGAATTTTGAAGGAAGGAATTCGAAAATTTTCAAAACAATTCCGTTGAAAAATACCGAATATAGCGAGTTACCGTAATATTCGGGCCTATACGAAGACGTGAACGCAGTACTATACTCAAATACGAAACTTGAAACAATTCCGGTGAATAATGCATCTAAAATCATTAAAGTAACGAATATCGGGAGGTGCCTTTATATGGGGGACCTGCACAAACAATTTTCAATCATAGGCTGTAGTATCCGTTACGAACTTCAAATACCAAATTTGATACAATTCCGGTGAATAATGTCGTTAAAATCATCAAAATACCGAATAAAGGGAGATACCATTATATGGGACTAATACGATGACGTGGATCTGCAAAGGCAATTTTCGGTCATATGAGTATGAGTAATTTTCTGCTGAAAATTTGAAACATTTCCGGTGAAAAGTTCGAAATAAAGCATCAAAATACCGAATATCTTAAGGCAAAGTTATATAGGGAATACAACAAAACCTATGTTGCCCATACATTGCTAAATCGATTTAGAATTTTATGCTGATCAAGAATATACTTTGTGGAGTCTAAATATTATATTTCGAGGTGTTACAATCGAAATGACAAACTTAATATACCCTCCATACTATGTGAGTGAAGGGTATAAAAATGCAGCTGAACTCTTCGAAAAACTCAAAATCGTGAGATATGGTAATATGAAGACTAAATCAAACAGGGAAGCCCATTTTCAATACCAACCAATTACTCCATTCTCAGTATATCCAAAATGAAATGCCAATACTGTTCTAAAATGTGAAAATTAAATCTGGAAAATTAAGAAATTAATAATGTTATGACGCGAAGTCAGTTTTTATACCCTCCACCTTATAAAGGAGGGTCGTAGACCCCATAAAGTACTTGTGTCCATGATCAGCATACAATTCTAAGTCGATTTAACGATGTCCGTCTGCCTGTCTGTCTGTTGAAATCACGATGCAGGCCACATTATTTGGCGTAGAGCTTAAACACTTGGCAGAACAATTTGTATTATGTCTAGGATGGTTGGTATTGAAAATGAGATATATCGGTCCACGATTTGGTATAGCCGCCATATAACAGTACCTCTCGATGTTCGGTATATTGATGATTTTAGCGACACTATTCACCGGAATTGTTTCAAATTTGGTATTTGAAGTTCGTACCGGATAATACAGCCTAAGACAGAAAATTGTCTGTTAGGGTCCACGTCTTCGTATAGCCTCCATATAACGGCATCTCCTGATATTCGGTATTTTGATGATTTGCGCGAGATTATTAACCGGAATTGTTTCAAATTTGGTATTTGAAGTTCGTCACGTATACCACAGCCTATGACAGAAAATTGTCTGTGCAGGTTCACGTTTTGGTATGGCCCCCATATAATATAATAGTACCTTCCTATATCCGGTATTTTGATGATTTTTTCTATTCTTTATTCACTATATTTTTTTCAAGTTTCGCATTTGTTTTTATTTTTTTTTTTTTTTAAATTGCCAAATATGGCCGAACTTACAGTTTTTATACCCTACAACACTATGTGTTGGGGGTATTATAAGTTTGATTGGGCCAAAAATTATGTAACACCACGAAATATTGATTTCCCACATAGGAAAGTATATATGGGTCTTCCTAGCTCGCCGAGCTGAGTCGATCTAGCTATGTATGTCCGTCCGTCCGTCTGTCCGTCTGTCCGTCTGTCCATGTTAATTTGTAATCACTCTACAGGTCGCAATTATGGTCCGATCTTCACGAAATTTAAAATGGAGGTGGGGCTAGGGTCAGAATAGAACCCTATCTTCTTTGGTGATGATCGCATAATATTTAGAGGTTGAAATGGACCAAAAACTAAAAAAATTCCTGATTTTGCAGTTGCTCTACAGGTCGCAATTATAGACCAATCGACGCGGAATTTCGCATGTAGCTAGAGTTTAGGGCGGGGAAGAAGCCTACCCATTTGGGTGGTCATCGGATAATATTTAGCGGGAAAAAAGACCATATCTTTTTTGTTGAAAAAAATCAAAATTTTTCATTAAACCGCGAATATTTTAAATCCCGGCGAAATCACAAAGCCATGACAAGGTTACTTCTGATCTTTACATTGATGTTAACATCCAACAAAACGGATATATAGCAAAATATGTGCAATATATATGTTTATCAAAGAAGATATGCTTGAAAGATCTCTTATATGTCGAGAACGGCTGAACTGATTTCGACAGTTCTCATTAATTCAGAATGGCCTCTTGGCAGGAAAGGAAAAACGTCTAAAAAAATCGCATAAAAATATCTCTCTAAAGATGAAAATATTGATTTTGTAAAATTTTCTCATATTTTTTCAATTTTGTCATATTTTTGGCATATTTTCATTTTGAATTAAACATTTGGTAATATTTCTATAACTAACAAAACTAAGTAGTTAGGATATCAAGATATCATATACAGATCGCATTTATGGACCGATCCTTACGAAATTTTGCATGGGGATAAAATGAGGGTCAGAATAGAAGTCTACTCTTTTTGGAGATGATTGGCTTATATTTAGGTGTTGAAATGGACCAAAAAACTGCAAAATTGTCAGCAGGTCGTAATTATCGCCCGATCCTCACGCACATTTGAATGGGGGTTACCGCACATTGCAAAAGCCAAGCAGTTTCGGATGGCCATCCAAAAATATTCAATGTGTGAAATAGTTTGCCAACTTTTGTAGACAAAATACGAAAATGTCCATTCCAGTGACTTTTTGGAGAATTCACTTCTGACTATTTCGTTAACGCTGATTTCGTTGAAGAATATAGTCAAATGTCTGTATCTCATATAGATGTGTTTCAGTCAAAAACCAATAATAAATGTTAATCTTTTGCCACTTCTGAGAGATTATAGGTCTTTGGGAAATATTGGTTCCAGATCTAGGAAGACCATTTACGTACAACAACTACCAATAAATTGGAAATGGGTAAATTAGTTTAAGTTGCTATTATTCGAAAATTAGAGAACGAAACATGATGGTTTTCTTTTATTATTTGTCACAATATCTTGTGGAATTCTTTCGAGTATCTCGCCTATATAAACAGTATCGTTTATTATAGTGTTGTAGGGTTTTCAACGGTCAGCCCCGCTCGACTGTAGCCTTTGCTTACTTGTTTTAAGTTAAGTTTACTGACTCCAATTCAAAGACCCTTATTTTGATTCCGTTTCCAAGAGCCTAGATATGTAGAATTATATATTTAAATTAAGAAGAAATGCATTTTATATTGAACCCTTGTAATAGATAAATTAATAAAAAATGTTATTTATTTTGTTAATACAACAAATAATCATACATTCATTCATACACAATAATATTTTAAATGTTAAATACATAATTACATTTGTTTGGAATATAACTTCACATTTTGGCACTTATGCCAACAATTACAACGTTTCAAAAACCAATGCCAACTGAGTTCTTCAGCGACGTTTAACACAGACTTTAATACCATTTCCACTCTTCATTACCAGCTCCGGCAAGGGGTTGGGTTTAAAATCTTTGGCTGGTAGAAATTCAAAATTACGCAAAAGATGTGAGAGACTGCACTTCAACTCCAGCACGGCGAACTTTTGACCTAAAACAAGAAATGGAAATTTTATTATTTAAAATTAAAAAATTAAATATTAAAGGTTTGATATGTTTTATAGACCCATGAGTGACTCAGTGGAATTGTTTTGAGGTTTGCTTGGTAGTTTGGACCTCATCATAAATTTTGAAGAAAAAATGCAATATTATCGATACATTTCAAACCAAAAAAATGTCAGTTCCATTATTAAAAAAAAAAAATAATAATAAATAATAATAATAATAATAATAATAATAATAATAATAATAATAATAATAATAATAATAATAATAATAATAATAATAATAATAATAATAATAATAATAATAATAATAATAATAATAATAATAATAATAATAATAATAATAATAATAATAATAATAATAATAATAATAATAATAATAATAATAATAATAATAATAATAATAATAATAATAATAATAATAATAATAATAATAATAATAATAATAATAATAATAATAATAATAATAATAATAATAATAATAATAATAATAATAATAATAATAATAATAATAATAATAATAATAATAATAATAATAATAATAATAATAATAACAATAATAATAGTAATAATAATAATAATAATAATAATAATAATAATAATAATAATAACAATAATAATAAAAATAATAATAATAAATTATTTAAATATATTTTGACTCCTGTTACGATTATTAAAATTGCTGACCCTCTATGGAGTAGGTTCCGAAAGAATGGCCCAATATTGTCCATTTCGTATCGGATCTAAATAAATATGATATAAATATTGTGAACGGCCAGGTTTAGACTATGTTACCAATACAGTCTAAACCTTTATATGAGATATGTGATAATCTTAAGAAGATCTTAATATGTGCGTGTTCTACCAGATTTTGTGGACCGAAATATTCCATTTTCACACTTCATCTAATACAGATAAAAATATTGTTCAATTTTATGCGAAATTATAAACTCCATATTAATATCAGGTTTTAGATTGATTAGTTATAGGAAGTTGTAAAGAATCACCGACTTGTTTAAAAGGGTACCAGAAGGTGTTCACAGATATATATCATCTTCACGACAGATCATGTGTTAGCAAAAATGTTTGTATGTGTGAAATTTGAGAGAGAGTTGGATGCTTATTTCACTTTCTTTGAGTGTTTTGTTTTACAAATCTCCTATGTGAGGCAGGTACCAAATGAAATGATCCGATCTCCACCATTTATATAACCGATTTTGTGTTGACGGAAATATTGAGATGTACCAAGTCTTTATGGAATTGGATGTTAATTTCGCGTTTTATGAACTTCATGGATATTTAAAATTTTGAACCTTTGTGGCGGAGGTACCGGAGGATTGGACCGATAGATTCCACCTTAACAGCAGATCTTGTGTTACTAGGATTAATGAGATGTGTGAAACATGAAGATTTTATGATCGTTTTGGTTATTTAATATTTGACCCTTTGTGGAGGAGATACTAGAAGGAATGGTCCGATCTTTCTACCATCTTTAAATGGAATCGGATGTTAATTTCCCGTTTTGTAAGCTTCATGGATATTCAAAATTTTGACCCTTTGTGGGGGATATACTAGAAGGAGTGGACCGATTTATTCCATCTTCACAGCGGATCTTGTGTTAGTAGAAATAATGGGATGTGTGAAATATGAATGGGACCGGATGCTTATTTCGGATTTTATAACCGTTTTGGTTATTCAAAACTTTGACCCTTTGTGTGGGAGGTACCAGAAGGAGTGGTCCGATATCTACCACATTTATAACAGATCGTGTGTTGATAGAAATATTAAGACGTGGCAAGTCTGAATGGAATCTGATGTTAATTTCGCGTTTTTTGAGTTGCATGGATATTCAAAATTTTGGTCCTTTGTGGAGGAGGAGTGGACCGTTACATCCCATCTTCACAGTAGATCTTGTGTTAGTATGGGATGTGTGAAATATGAAGAAAATCGGATGCTTATTTCGGATTTTATAAGCATTTTAGTTATTTAAAATTTTGACCCTTTGTAGGGGAGGTACCAAATAGAATCGGATGTTAAATTCTCGTTTTATGAGCTTCATGGATATTCAAAATTTAGGGGAGGTACCAGAAGCAGTTGTCCGATATATTCAAACTTCACAGCAGATCTTGTGTTAGTTGAAATAATGGGATGTATGAAGTAAGAATAGAACCGAATGCTTATTTCGAATTTTTGAAACGTTTTGGTTATTAAAAGATTTGAACCTTTGGAGATACCAGAAGGAATTGTCCGATCTCTACCATCTTTGTAACAGGTGTTCATAGAAATATTGATATGTTGCAAGTTTGAATAGAATAGTATATGAATTTCATATTTTGTGAACTTCTTCAAAATTTTGACCCTTTTTAGGGGAGGGGTCAGAAGAAGTGGACCGATATATATCCTCACATTTTATAAGAGTTATGATGTCACATTTTATAAGAGTTAGAATTATTCAAATGTTGACCCTTTTGTGGGGAGGAACTTGATGGAGTTTACCGATTTTGCATATTTTCGCACTTGCAAATATTAGGTTAGTAGGTAGAGCAAAATCGGATTATCCTCCCTCTTTCTGCACAGTAAATTATTTTCTTTGAAAATATTGACGTTTTGTGGAGGAGGTACCAGAAGGAGTGGACCGATATTGCCCATCTCCAAACTCGATCTAAGTTTGACAATAGTATTACGATGTAACAAGTTTGGTTCAAATCGGATACTCCCTTCGAGAATTATCGTGCGCACCAGCCAGACAGACAGACAAAGATCTAGGGTCTAAATCCGTAATCTCGATGAGACACGTTTTGGTCCGATCATATATCGTTTTGGCGCTATTATAATACATACCCCCTGTTGCCATATGCCTGAGGGTATAACAAATTACGGATATAGACGAGAACAAGTGGCTTTTTTAGAAACTTTCAAAATATTCTTCCCAAACTTAACTTCTCTCATTTTTTTCTCACTAATAAAAAACGTTTTTTTATAAAACTAGCGATGGATTTAAAGTTCTTTGTTTTTGGAAAAACTCGTATTTCCATTTAAAGATATTTCCCCTTTTCCCCCATTCCCAACTCACCAATGCAATTACGTGGCCCGGCACTGAAGGCCACAAAGCTGAATGGATGTAGATCTTTTTCATTTTTGAAATATCTTGATGGATCGAATTTCTCGGGCTCCGGGTAGTACTGCTCATCGCGATGCACCATATAGGATAAAATACTGACACTGGCACCCTTCGGCACCGTAATTTGTCCCACCTGTAAATCTTCCTTGACCGATCGCGAATAGAATGGCACCGAGGGATATAAACGCAGAGTTTCCTTTATAATTGCCTCCAAGTACGGCATTGATTCCTTTTCCCGACCTTCAAAAGCCACAGCTTCTTCATAGGCCTGCTTTTGTACCTCGGCATGTTGTGATAGCAAATAGATGGCAAAACCAATTGCCGAACTTGTCGTATCGTGGCCTTCAAACATAAATGTATCAACTTCTTCGCGTATTTCACGATCGGTCAGGGGGACACCTTCCATTTGGGATATCAGCAGCATATCCAAGAAGGCGAAACGTTTCTTTTGTCCAAAACTATCGCAGGATTTTTCGGCCTCTAGCATACTTGTGATTTTGGAATCTTCCAACATTTTTCGCCTCAGCTTGATGACACGATCCGTTTCGTCATGCAGAATCTTCAAGCAGGCATCACGTTTACGGCCATCTTGGGTGAATTTGAAGAAGATGTTGTTTCTTTGCCAAAACGAAAATGAGCGCTTGTGTAGAATATGGCAAATTCTGAAAATAACCAAACATTTTTAAAGAAAAATCTAAAATAAATAAAATCTCTAGACTCACTGCTGCACCGCCTTCACATACTCCGATTCCGATTGCATTTGTGCATTCTTCTTAATGCCCATGGCCGTCTCACATATCACATCCAAGGCGAACAGTGTAATATACGGATAAATGTCAAATTCCCCACCCTCAACCTTTTCATCCAAACGCCTCATCAAAATTCGACAATTCTCCTCCATGGGTTCTTTAAATTCGCTCAAAATGCGAAAATGGAATGCCGGTGTAAGGAACTTTCTCCTAGTATGCCATGACTCGCCCCCATTGGTGAGAAGACCATTGCCCAACCAGGGAGTTACAATTTTATAATTGCTTGACTTGTACAGCAGATTATTGTTGCCCAACAGCTGTTTAATATCCTCTGGATCCGTAAAGAATACCATCAAATCTTTACCAAACCAAATGCGAAATGTGGAACCGTGTTTCTGACGCAGCTCCTTGAACCATGAAAGGATTTCTGAAAAGCAATGAACAAAAGAGAAGTTTGAATAAAATACATTCACATGGGAATAAATAAACAAGTAAAAAACAGCTAAGTTCAGCCCGGCCGATACCCTCCACCATTTGGAAGGAATTTGAAAATTTTTTAAAATTACCGTTTAATTGATGACCTTTATGCGAAGGCTATACGATGACGTGGACCTGCATAAGTAATTTCTTTGTCATAGGCCATAGAACCCATTAAGATTTTTAAATACGAAATTTGAAACAATTCAAAATGCCGGAGAAGGGTTATATCGTTATATGGGGGCTATACGAAGACGCGGGACCCGCATACAAAATTTGTAGCATAGGCTGTAGTACCCATTACATACTTCGAATACGAAATTTGAAACAATTCGGGTGAATAATGTGGCTAAAATAAAAAACTGATGAGGAGGTACCGTTATATCGGGCCTATACAAAAAGGTGGAGCGACATGGCCCATTTATGAACATACCTGCCTGCGAAATACACATGTGTGCAAAATTTTAGCCTACTATATCAATTCGAAAAATAGCTAGATTACAACAGGCAGACGGACAGACCGACCCACACACAGACAGGCTGACATCGCTAAATCGGCGTAGTAAAATTCTACAATGATCCGAAATATATATAATTTGTAAGGTCTATCATGAATATTTCGAGGAGTTACAAATGGAATGACAAAGCTAATATACCCTCCATTGAATTTTTTTTTTTTTTGAAGATTCTTCAACATAAATCGCGGACTGTACAAAAAAGAAAAGAAGAAATCGGCACCTATGTGCCGAAGTTACCACGAAACACTGTATGGATGAGATTTTTTATAGGTTGGCCAATATGAGTACTGTTTCTGCCAAACTGCAAAAATAAATCAATTGAAGACCTGGTCACCAATAAAATAATGAGACCATAAAATGTGACTTAAAATATATTATTGTCCGCGGTCAAACGTTGAGCCTATAGGGAAAATTAGTTTCAATGGAAGTTCTCCTTGGGCAGGCACCAAACTGAAACTGGGAAAGAAGATCAAGGTTCTTCTCGTGATTAAAGATCAAGTAGCTAGACCAAAAAATCTCATTATAAAATGTTTAATATATTTTAGTAGTCTGTAAAAGTTAGAACCTACAAGGTGACTTGAAATGTATCCCGAAACTATTTAAAAGGCCCAACAAGCAAAAAATTACCTTTTTATACCCTCCACCATACTATGGAGGGTATATTAACTTTGTCATTCCGTTTGTAACTCCTCGAAATACTCATATCAGACCCAACAAAGTATATATATTCTTGATCAGCGTAAAATTCTAAGTCGATTTTGCGATGTCCGTCTGTCTGTCTGTCTGTCTGTCTGTCTGTCTGTCTGTCTGTCCGCCTGTCTGTCTGTCTGCCCGTCTGTTGTAATCACGCTATCTTTCGAACGAATTGAGATAGAAGGCTAAAATTTTGCATACATGTTTATTTTCCGAGTAGACAGGTTAAGTTTGTAAATGGGCCATGTAGGTCCACGTTTTCATATAACGCCATATAACGGTACTTCCCGATATTCGGTATTTTGATGATTTAAGCGACATTATTCACCGGAAATGTTTCAAATTTGGTATTTGAAGTTCGAAAGGGATACTACAGCTTAAGACAGAAAATTGTCTGTGCAGATTCACGTCTTCGTATAGCCCCCATATAACGGAACCTCCCGATATTCGGTATTTTGATGATGATAGCGACATTATTCACCGGAATTGTTTCAAATTTGGTATTTGAAATTCGTAATGGGAACTACAGTCTGTGACAGAAAATTGTCTGCAGGTCCAGGTCTTCGTATAGACCCCATATATAAGTACCTCCCTATATTCGGTATTTTGTTTTACGGTATTTATTATACGGTATTTTTATTATACGGTATATATATTAACAAATAAAAATACTGTAAGTTCGGCCGAGCAAAACTTTGAATAACCTTCACTATTTGGAACGAATTAGAAAATTTTCAAAAAAATAAAATCCCTTAAAATTTCTATTAAAATCTTTAAAATACCTAATATCGGAAGGAGCCGATATATGGGGGGATATACGATATTGTGGACCTATATAGACAAATCTATGTCTGGGGGTAAAGTACTCACAAAGAACTCCTTCTGTGGATTTTCAGATAATTTCATTGGAAAATGTGGCTAACATCATTAAAATACCGAATAATGTGGGGGGGGGGGGGGGGGTACCGTTATAAGGGGGCTATTCCATATCGTGGACCTATATAGATAATTCTCTTCCGAAGTATAAAGTACTCACAAGGGACTCCTTATGTGGTATTTCAGACAATTCCATTGAAAAATATGGCTAACATCATCAAAATACCGAATATAGGGGGCCAATATAGCCCATCTTCGAACTTAATCTACCAACAGATAAAAGAGAGATGTATGCAAAATTTTAGCTTCCTATCTTAATTCGTTTAGACGGGCTGACGGACAGTGCAAAATCGTCTTAGAATTTTACGCTGACCAAGAATATATATACTTTGTTTGGTCTAAAATGATTATTTCGATGAGTTACAAACGGAATGACGAACTTAATATTCCCTCCATACTATGTATGTATAGTGGAGGGTATAAAAATATTATTATTCATATTTAGAATTTTCAAATAGTTTTCGGCTTCAAAATGTTTAGTCAAAACTCGGTAATTATTCAATTTTCGAATTTGTGCCAAACCTGAGCCGTAACAAACAAAATAACGATTGTGTTTGGATAATTACTATTTTAAGTTTTTTTTTTCGAATTATTACTTATCCAAACAAAAATGAAAAAATACCGATTTTTGTTGTTTTTTTTAAAATTTGGTGGCACAAATACGACTGATAAGATTTTCGTACCTGAAGGAGTAAACATTTATTGTTTGATAACTATGCTGATATTGGCTGTGACGAGAACAATATAAGTGTGAGCTACTATAACCCATATCACAATGTTAGATAATTTATTTGAGAAGACCTCTGCTCAACATATGTGCAGTGCTGTAGGCTCACTCCATACGCGTGTTTAAGTCAACAACTATCACCAAACACAAAACATAATGTTGTGACTTAGACCCCGATTGATGAGTGTTTAGTTAATGATAACATAGCGTCTATTTGATAGCAAAGTCCAGCATCAAAGGGAAATGTGTGTACGAGTAAACAGTAGCTAACAAACTGGTTTCAATTGAGGTTTAAATTTTTTTTGTTTTGTTATAATTTGTGTTTCTCTATATTTTTATGCAATTTTTTAAATTTCACAAATTCCATTAGTTTTTTTTTTTTTTTTCATTCAAAACTTACGTCCTTTTTTAACATTTTCAATGAGTTCACTTATCGTTGGACCCGGTATCGATGACGACCATTGCCTCAATTTTATGAATTCCATAATTTTGGGCAAGCAACGCATAAACAGAGCCCATAATGCAAAGGCTATTAGAGCCAAGGTATTCATTTTGCTAAAAAGTGCGTGTGTGTGTTTGGTTGTTTATAATTAATTTATAAAAAAAAAAAAAATTGGCACAATTTTTCTATTTCTTAGTCGAGACACGTTAAAAATAATAAACACAACGATCCGCCAACAGCTCGACGACGACGACGTCTTCGCACAATGCCAGTTAGACTGCAACTAGATCAATAGAAAGGCGGCACTCAACATAAGTACTCATTAAGTGTTTGCTATGGAGACTCTCTCAAACAACATTGCTGCCTGTCTAGGTCGGCGGACTTTGCTGCCAAAGAGAAATATTTTGAAAATTATTATCGCTTTCTCTTATTTTATTCAATTAACTAATTGAGAGCCGTTCATTGATGTAAGTTCTCGTTATCAGCTGTGTGGTTAGTGTTAATCTTAACCCAGTTTCAAACTTCATTCATGATCGAAATGTGCGTATTAGGGGTATTCAGAAAAAAAACTACTATAGCAGGGAATAGTTTTGAAAACAGTAGTGAGTATAATGCAGGAACTCTCATTCTTTATTTATGTGTCATAATTATACCCTCAGCCATATGGCTACAGAGGGTATATATCATTTGATACGGCCAAAACGTGCCTCATCGAAACAACGGTTTTAGACCCTAGGTCTCTTTGGACCAAATCCGTTTCGGGACATTTGGAGTCGATCTAGCGATGTCCGTCCGTCTGTTTGTCTGGCTGGCTGGTGCGCACGATAACTCTCGAAGGGAGCATCCGATTTGATCCTAAGTTGGTACATCGTAATATTATTGTCAAACTTCAATTGAGTTCTGAGATGGGCAATATCGGTCCACTCCTTCTGGTACCTCTCCCACAAAAGGTCGAAATTTTCAAAAAATATATTTTTTGCACATAAAGAGAAAGGATAATCCGAATTTGCTCCAACTTTGCAAATCCTAATATTTGCGTCAGTGCTAGGTCAGGTGCGAAAATGGACAATATTGGTTCACTCCATCAGGTACCTCCCACACAAAGGGTCAAAATTTGGAATAATTACAATTCTTATAAAACGTGATGTAAGAGTCCGATTGTCTTAAATTTTTATACATCCCAATAATTTTATTAACCCAAGCTCTGGTGTGAAGATGGAATGTATTGGCCCACTCCTTCTGATACATCCCCCACAAAAGGTCGAAATTTTCAAAAAATATTTTTTTGGCACAGAAAGAGAAAGGATAATCCAATTTTTCTCTAACTTCGCAAATCCTAACAGTTGCGTCAGTTTTAGGTCAGGTGCAAAAATGGATAATGTCGATCCACGCCATCAGGTGCCTCTCCCACACAAAGGGTCAAAATTTGGAATAATTACAACTCTTACAAAATATGATGTAGCAGTCGGATTGTCTTCAAATTTCACATATCCCAATAATTTTATTAACCCAAGATCTGGTATTAAGACGGAATATATCGGTCCACTCCTTCTGGTACCTCCCCCACAAAAGGTCGAAATTTTGAATATCCATTAAGCTCATACAACACGAAATTAACGTCCGATTTCATTCAGGCTTGGCACATCTCAATATTTCTATCAACACAGGGTCTGTTGTAAAGATGGTAGAGATCGGACCATTTCTTCTGGTACCTTCTCCACAAAGGTCAAAGTTTTACAAAAAACGAAAATAATAACCATCCACCTCTCTTCAAATTTCACACATACAAACTTTTTTGCTAACCCAAGATCTGTTGTGAAGATTATGTATACCTGCGAACCCCTTCTGGTACCCCACACACAAGAGGTCACAATTTTCAATGCTTTTATCTGTCATAACTTGCGAAACAAGTCAGCGGTTCCTTACATTTTCCAATATCTAAATATATGTCTCTCAACCAGAAACCTGAGATGAATATGGAATCGATGATTTCCCATAAATTGGATAAAAATGATCGATGTTCTTATAATTATGGCCATACCAATATTTTTATCGGTCGACTATATCTGGTACCTCACGTACATCTTAACGTTTTCTAAAAATTATCACATAACTCATGTAAAGTGAAGGAAGTGGTTAATATAGTCCAAACTTGGCATATCGCAATGGACAATATTGGTCAAAAGTTGGAATAGTCATAACAGAAGTCAACATTTCTTTAAATAATTGAACATTGGCTAAGGGTATACATCTGTCGGCAAAACCGGCCGATACTTTTTTATTTGTTTTGTTTTTACACGTTCCCTATTTTTCTTGGTTTTTCCTGCATACAAAAAAGTTTAATTATATTCAAGACTTTTTTTAAATTTGATAGACAATTGTATAAATATTTGATTTATTTAAAAATAAGCCTTTCTTTAAACAAATAAAAAACGTTAAATACGGACTATTTTTGATAACCTCTGCCATGTGCCAAAAAAAAAAAAAAAAAAAAAAAAAAAAAAAAAAAAAAAAAAACGTAACGAGTGCCATTATAAACTGCAAATGCCAGTGAAATCCGTTGGAAAATGCAGATAAAGTATTCTAAATACCATAGATCAGCTATACCACAACTAGATCAGAATACCAAGTATCGGGAAGTAAGGGATTGTTGTCTGCCACAGTGGTTGCTATTTATTGCGAGCATCAATTACCAAATTTGAAACAAATGTCATTGAAATACTGACTACCGCCGTATGAAGGCTAGAGAAAAACTTGATCTTAAATAGACTATGCTCGGTAACAAGAGGCAAATCCTATAACAATTTAAAAATACAGATTTTTAGCAGACCCGTTAGAATATATAGTAACCAAAATTTCAAAGCTCCACCTCAAATAATGTAGGATGGGAATGGGACAGACGAACGTTATTAAATCGACTTGGAATTTTATGGTGATCACAGATATATATATATATATATAATATATATATATATATATATATATATATATATATATATATATATATATATATATATATATATATATATATATATATATATATATATATATATATATATATATATATATATATATATATATATATAAATACAATTCATAAAATTCTATGTCTATTTAGCGATGACTGTCTGTCTGTCCGTCTGTGGAAATCGCTCTAGCTTCCAAACGAAATGGAGCAAATGTGTATTATGCCTGTAGGGCGTTTGGTATTCAAAATGGGTTGTGTAGGTCCACGTTTTCATATAGCCCCATATATAACGGTACCTCCTGATATTTGTATTTCAAAGATTTTAGCGACATTATTTACCGGAATTGTTTCAAAATTTGGTATTTGAAGTTCGTAATGGATACTACAGCCTAATACAGAAAATTGCCTGTGCAGGTCCACGTCTTCGTAAAGCCCCCATATAACGGAACCCCCCCGATATTCGGTATTTTGATGATTTAAGCGACATTATTCACCGGAATTGTTTCAAATTTGATATTTGAAGTTCGTAATGGATGCTATAGACTGTGACTGAAAATTTTCTTTGCAGGTCCATTCCTTCGTATAGCCCCCATATAATAAAACCTCCCGAAATTCGGCATTTTGATGATTTAAGCGACATTATTCACCGGAAATGTTTCAAATTTGGTATTTGAAGTTCGTAATGGATGCTATAGACTGTGACTGAAAATTTTCTTTGCAGGTCCATTCCTTCGTATAGCCCCTATATAACGGTACCTCCCGATATTCGGCATTTTGATAATTTTAGCGACATTATTCACCGGAAATGTTTCAAATTTGGTATTTGAAGTTCGTAATGGATACTACAGCCTGAGGCAGAAAATTGTCTGTGCAGGTCCATTCCTTCGTATAGCCCCCATATAACGGTACCTCCCGATATTTGGCATTTTGATGATTTTAGCTACATTATTCGCCAGAATTCTTTCAAATTTGGTATTTGAGGTTCGTAGTGGATACTACAGCCCAAGACAGAAAATTGTCTGTGCAGGTCCACGTCTTCGTATAGCCCCCATATAACGATATCTCCCGGTATTCGGTATTTTGATGATTTTAGCTACATTTTTCACCGATTTATTTCCAAGTTTCGCATTTGAATATTATAATGGCTTATGACAACAGTTGGCTATGCAGGTCCATGTCGTCGTATAGACCCTAATATAACGGCTACATTCAGATTTACACAGCATTTTTAACGGATTTTTTTTTTTAAAAAGTCCGGTTCGGCCGAACTTATAGCTTTTTACATGTTTAACTTTTGCTTTAAAATAGGAAAAGTTCTAAGATGGGTAAGATTTGATGAAAATCGGATATTAATTTCATAAATTTCGAGGCTTAACAACTTATGGTAATTTACCAATCATACCTTATGGTATGGTATGGACCGACATTGCCCATCTCCGAGTTCGATCTAAGCTTCGTAAAAATATTACGATGTTCCAAGTTTGGACTAAATCGGATACTCCCTTCGAAAGTTATTGTGCGCATAGACAGACAGCCATTTTGGCCGTATCAATTAATAGGGGTAATTTTTTAAGGGCAATAGGAATGTTTTTTTTTTTCGATTTTGCCGATTGATGTATACCCTCAGCCAATGTTCGATTATTTATATATTTTGACTTCTGTTATGATTATTCAAATTATTGAACTACTATGGAGTAGGTTCCGAATGAATGGGACAATTTTATGCAAAATCATAAATTCCATATTTATCTCAGGTTTCTGGTCGAGATAAATATTTAGTAGTTGTAAAGAATCGCTGACTTGTTTCGCAAGTTTAACAGATAAAATTATTAAAAATTGCTCCCCTTTGTGGATCATCGTCACAACAGATCTTGCGTTAGGAAAAATATTCGGATTTGTGGAATTTGAATAGAGTTGGATGCTTATCGCGTTTTCTTTGCGCGTTTTGTTTTTCAATAATCTTCAACCCTATGTGAGGGAGATACCAGAAGTCCGATTTGTACCATCTTTATAACAAATCTTGTGTTGATGGAAATATTGAGATGTGCCAAGTTTAAATCGAATGGGATGTTAATTTGGCTTTTTATGAGCTTCATGGATATTGAAAATGTTGACTCTTTGTGGAGGAGGTACCAGAAGGAGTAGGCCGATATATCCCAATTTCACACGAGACCTTGGCTTGATTAAAATATTGTGATGTGTGTAATTTGAAGAGATCCGGATGCTTATTTCGAATTTTATGATCGTTTTGGTTATTCGAAACTTTTACCCTTTGTAAGAGAGGTACATGAAGGAATGGTCCGA